GGAGGCTGGGAGGTGGGAGGTGCCGGCGTGGCCCCGCCCCTCCGGACGCCTAGAACCGCGGCCTCTGATTGGGCCTTTGTGTATGTCTTGCTCCGCCGAAAAGATTAAGGGTTCATTTGTTAACCACCAGGTACCTAATACGGCACCGTGGCGCTAGCTCCTCCCATGGGGCGGGGCTCCACCTTGTCAACTCGAAGCTGTTAATTAAGTAATTGCTTCGGAAACTCTGGTTTTACTACCTGAGACGAGATCTTGAAAGAGGAGTAAATATGGTAGTAGAGGAGTCAAAGGAGGATCTAGTGGAGGTAGTGAAGCGCAAGATTCAGAAATGTATTGTGTGTAAGGGCTTTGCTTAGCGTCTGGATGGCTATCTTAAGTGACAGCCCTTTTAAGAAAAAGTTTCACTTTCCCACCCAAGGGCGTTCCTGAGAAAGAAGCACCACTCCCTCAGACTAACCCAACCCTTAATCACCTGCATTAGGACCTGCCCAGCTCTGATTCCTGAGCCTCCCTCATAAAAGACCAGGAACCCTAGCCTGTTTTGCCTCTCTCTCCTATAGAGAGATGGCCTTTATTTGTCACTTCTGACAATAAACTTTCATGTGTATCTCTGCCTGGTCTCTGTCTCATTTCTTGCTTACCAGTCTCTGGTTCCTCGCTTTCCCTTCAATTTGGTGCTGAAACCCGGCTCTGTTCCCGGGTGTGCCCCCTCTCCTTTTCAAAGACCACTGAGCGTCCCCAGGCCAATCTGAATTCCATCATGGGACCAGGCCCTCCATTCTGCTGAATGCCCTCTCCGCACCCACTACTGGACGGTCCAGGTAAGACCCCTATCTCTGATCTACCTAAACAACCTATGGGTCCCAGGAAACGACTGTTGAATGTCTAGCATTCCCAGGGTTACTATGTGGGTGGGGGCACCCCCAGCCATAGCTTTCACAGCTACAGCTGATCCCTACTGTGACCAAGTCTATAGGTCTTTTATTTGGTACTGAGTTTTGAGAATAAAACCACAGAGGGTGATTAGGAGTTGTTCCTACCTCTTGGCCTTGGATTAATCTCTACAGCTTCTGCCCCTTCTATGGGCTTCTGCCCCTACTATGTCGTCTCTGCTGGGCATCCAAGTGCCTCTAAAGGTCCTGCCCCAACGCTTACCCAGCAGTGGTGATGACCCCCTGAGTGAAACCGTCCTCTAGACTAGGTGATACTAGAGACTGGGGGCCGCCCCACCTCTAAACTCACCTCCTGCTTCTCACCATGGGAAGCTCCTCATCCATGCCCTCCCATAGCCTCTGGGGCTGCCTCCTGGCTAACCTAGGGTCTCTCTCTTCTCACCCCAGACTGCCACAGTCTGGCTGGGCACAAGTCACGAGCCACTCAAGGAGGAACAAACTTCATTTCCAAACTCCACTAGCACGCTCCCCGGGAACTCTCGGAACGCCACCCACATGGCTCCTCCAGGAACACACCACACACCAACCTTAACTCCCACCACTGGAACTTCACCAACCAACGCAAACTCTTCAGGAATCCCCGAGAGAGCTCAACCGGAACTCAACGGGAACTCCGGGAGAACTCAAAAGTCATCATCTTAATGGCTCGCTGGCGTCACCTCTCAACCACTACTTCTGGCAAAAATGCCATGCATCATCCCGACTCGGCTGTGGCCCTCAACACCAGACCTAAAGCCCCCAGATCTTATCCAATCAGATCTGGCCTTAATACCCTTTGGATAACAACTCTAAATGGCCGCTTATGGCACTCTAGATCCCAATATTATCAGGGATCTTTTCAACTATTGTGAGCGTTCAGGAAAATGGAAAGAAATATCATGTTCAGGCCTTCTCCTCTACATTCTAAGCTCTCTTTCTGCAACTCTTGCTCTCCTGCCCAAGTCCTCTTAGCTCTCACCTTACCTATGCCTGCTTCCAAAGGGACAGAAGATACTATCCAGAACTCCTCCTTCGACCCAGCTGATGAGCTCCCACCATACCACGATTCTCTTTCTAATGAAGCCTTCGCAGCAACTGTCCCATTGGGCCCTCTGCCCTTCTCTTGTTCTGCCACACTCTCACAGGTTGCCACTGCCCAAAGGACATCTCTGTGTCCTCTACACGAGGTGACTGGGGTAGATAGTGTAATCCGGATTCATGTGCCTTTGTCTTTGTCAGATCTTTCAAAGACAGAAATGCAACTTGGGTCCTATACTTCAAGTCCCATCACATATATCAAAGAGTTTTAATATCTGACTCAGTCACATAATTTGACCTTCCACAATGTCCATATGATCTTGTCTAACACCCTCCTGCCCGAGGAATGCAGATAAGTTTGGGAGCAAGCTAGAAATTATGCTGATGAGGTACATCAGACCACCTGTGCCCTCCCGATTGACACTGAAGCAGTCCATTTTCGGGACCCCAATTGGGATTGTAATTCACCTAGAGGAATAACTAGTAGAAACCAATTAATTACTTGCCTCGTGGCAGAACATAGAAAGGCAGCCCATAAGGCTGTCAATTCTGAAAGGCTCCCAGAAATCTTCCAAGATAAGAATGAAAACCCTTCAACATTTTTAGACCACCTGACCAAGGCTTTATTAGAATATACTAATCTGGAACCTGAAACTCCAGATGGAAATAACTACTAATGACCTACTTTTTCTCCAGAGTTTCCCCCATATTAAGGCCAAACTAAGGTACCTCAAGGGGGCCCCCTAAGTCCCAAGCTAAGGTTTTGGAAGTGACCTTTAGGTGTATAATGACAGAGACCAGAAGGCCCAGAAGCAGAAATATCAGATGCTCGCTCAAGCCATCCATCCAGCCTCAGCATCTGTCCCTGGTTCCACTGGCCATGGAAGGGTCCTTCAGGACCACCCAGACCCTGTTTTAAATGTTTTACATGACCTAAGCCTTACAAGCCTCCAGGCCCTTGTCCTAAATGCCATCAGAAGGGACACTGGACCATTGACTGTCCCTGAGCCTATAGTGGCCCCCAGCCAGCTGGCCCTTCTGGTTCCCATTTCCAACTCTTAGGACTGGCTGCAGAGGACTGACGAGGCCCAGGTCCCCATCACCCGACCACTATCAGCACTCAGTGGGAACACAGGGTAACTCTGCACATTTCAAGTAGGCCTGTCTCCTTCCTCCTAGACATTGGGGCTACATATCCAGTCCTCAAGGAGTTCTGGGGGCCTACTACTCCTTCTATGAAGAGTATCTTGCAACCTTTGGGGGAAAACTGTTCATATCAGCTGAGTGGAGTTATAAGACTCAGGGTCTGTCAGTAGAGGGTAAACCCTACCAACCCTTACAGACATCTAGGCTCATTTGCACTTTTGGCTTTCTTAATTTTTACTCACTCCATTTTGGTCATTTCACAGTGCCCTCTTCCCCTTATGGGAAGGGCCATTCTCACAAAGTTGGGGGCTACACTTTCCTTCTCCCCTCATATACGCTTCCATCCAGATTTGCTTGCTGCTCCCCTGATCCTCACCCTTATCTTAGGGCCATCTCCTATTCTGTCTGTCAGTGCCTTCCCATTACCCACTTCTGAGGTCGGCCCTACTGTCTGGGATGCTTCAAGTTCTTCTATCACCTCACACCACAAGTCCATTCACATCGATCTCAAAGACCCCCTCAATTTTCTGGTCCAATCACAATACCCATTCTCCCATCAAAAACTCCTAGGCTTACAGCCTATCATTCAAGACCTCTTGCAAAAGGGATTCCTTAGACCTACTCATTCTCTTTATAACACCCCCATCCTGGCAGTGAAAAAGCCTAATGGTTCCTACTACTTGGTCCAAAAGCTCCGTTCCATCAACTCTGCGGTCATCCCAATCCAATCCATCCTGTGGTAACCAATCCTTATACCCTCCTCTCCACCATTCTTTCCAGGACCTCGTACTTCTCAGTACTAGACCTGAAAGATGCCTTCTTCTCTATTCCCCTCCATTCTGACTCTCAAGACATTTTCGCTTTTACATGAACAGATCCTGAGTCTTATAACTCCACTCAGCTGATATGAACAGTTCTCCCCCAAGGGTTGCAAGACAGCCCTCATATCTTTGGACAGGTCTTGGCTAAGGACCTAGCATCCATACATCTCACTCAGTCTATGGTGCTACAATATGTTGATGACCTCCTTCTTTGCAGTTCCTCCCTTGAGGTCAGTTATCAGGACACCTGTAAGCTTCTTAACTTCCTTTCTGCCCATGGCTATAGGGTTTCTCCATTCAAGATACAGCTTTCCTTGGCAATTGTAACAAAGCAGGCCTCCTCCTGATGTCTACACACAAAGTCATTATGGTTGACAGAAAGGGCCTTATCTCTAATATATCAACACCCTCTTTAAGGAAGAAATTCTCTCCTTTCTAGGT